AAAAAGAGTCGTTGAATAGAACTAGTGATCCTTTTACGACTGCTGATTCTTCTACAATTAACGTCGCAGGTTACGAAGTTTAACTCCTTCTGCGCAGAGGGACTCCACGCACTATTTTTTTATTTAAATTTACTCCCATATTTTGTTGAGGTAAGAAGTAATAACGATAAAAAATAATAATAAGTTCTGTTCACCATTATACTATTGTTACCTTAAATCATATAACGTGAATAATTTCAGAAAATAAAAAAGCAAACAAGGGTGTAAAAATATACTATTAAAATATGACCTAAAGCAAATTTAAATTATATCTGGAACAAATTTTGGAGTCGATCAGTAAAAAATAAATTTTCGATTAATTTCGAGTAGTTGCGTTAACTTTTTCCCCCCAATGGCCTCCTTGGGGAATGACCACCCTTGATAACACATGATCCGTTTACAACTGAGGATATTTTACATCAGCACCGTGGTCGGTGTGAGCCGGGTGCGGAATTTGTATCGAACTGCCATCGCTGGGATTCAAACCCGGTTCAACTCATTGGGAGTTTCATAGTATATTACAGGTGATATGTGAGAAATTTTTCTAAAATTACGAGACCTTTGCATCCCTTTATAGAAGTAAATTGATCATTTAAACTTAATTCAGGATATGAGGCTGCATTCCTTGAGAAATACTTTAACTTCAGCACACGTTTTAGCTTACGAGATTTGAATCATAGCTTGTCAAAGCTGTAAAGGAACTACTGCGTAACTACTTAACCATCGGTAAAGAAGACGAACATTTTCATCATCATTTATATGAACAGAAATACAGATCACTCGGCTTTAAAGCGGTGAATAAATTTTAAAAATATAGAAAGACTAGTGGCTCGTTGAATACCGAAATTACAGGAATATGATTTTGAAATCCAGCATTGCAATGTATCCTTTCATCTATCTGCTGATACTTTATCCAGACGGCCAAACGCAGAAAATTGAAACCATTGTAATTAAACTGAGAAGGAAAATATGAACGAAGTTTTTACTTAGCAAGTTTCTACTAATAATAGTGTCACTAGTTAGAATCCTTTGAGTGATTTAAATAGGAGAAAAGTGCAACTGGATAATGTCCATATAAAACCTATTTAAGAAATGATGTCACCTACGAATGAGAGGGCGAGTTGACAAGAAATATCATGTTTTAGCTTAATAACAAAAATATACTGAGCTTCTTGTGTTTCTTTACTATTGAAGAACTGTTTTTTTTTTGCGTGTACCGAAATTGAAAATCCAATCATGGAAGGAAAACTGAATTGCATTTTATAGTACCACATTCAATGACCAATGGTGTGATAAAGGAAACGCATAATAATCCACGTGGAGTTAATTTTGGAATCCTAAAGAAGCTGACTTAAGGTCGAGTACGCTTCTTTTGGGATAAATCAGGATTGGTTGTTGAAGATGGGGGCAAAGCTTGTTATATTTGTGCAACTCGTAAATGACAAAAGACTCGCATCCGTGGAAAATTGTGAAGCTGCAATGTCGGTGCACAGTTTGAGAGAATCAAAATTGATATTTTAGGACTCCTTTCTCGAACTGACCAAGTCAACAAATACATTACAGTCGTTATGGATTATTTCAGTGGATTGAGGCGTATTATGTTCCTGATTTGGAGGCAACTAATATTGGCAAGTTTCTTCTAGAAAACTGAGTATTACGGTTTGGAGCTCCTTTGCAATTATACGCTGAATAAGGCACAAATTTACATCGTATTATTTATTTTTATAGAATTTTGCCAATAACTAGGATTCGAAAAACTAGAAGATTCCATTGAATCCTACTTCCGATGGCATAGTTGAAAAAAATTAATCACACGATCTTTAGTCATGTTTCCGCAGTTTTATAAAAATATAAAAAAGATTGGGGCAGCAAAGTACCGTTATTATTGTTGGCATGCAGGAGTGCTGTACCAAACAACAGGTTATACGCCTTTACATATACTATTTACCCGTGTACTCGGATTGCCATGTGATCTGATCTTTGGACATCATCTCCAAAATTGCAGTTAACTGGGGAAAGCCCATATGAAGTAATTAAAAAATTAAATGTTGTATGACGGATCCGAAAAAGTTCTTCGTCTAATACTAGGGTAATTCACGTAAATATATCATCATCATATCTGGCTAGACAGCCCAGGGTGGGCCAGTGAATTCGAATCCACTTCTCTCTACTTTTGACACTTGTTCGACACATATATAAGAGCCTTAAAGTAGATCTGCTCAAGTTTAACACTTAAGGATATGTGTACTTACTTTTAGATATGCTTTATATAGTTGCTTTGTATTTTTATAATTTTTATATAGAATTTTTGCAGAAATTGCTTTTGCATATAAATGTTTGTGTTGAGTTATTTTTTATATATATTTTGCAACGAGTGCAACTAGTTTCGAATAATAATCATTGAAAAATGATATAAGTATGATTTCTAAAATAATTAAAGAGTAACAATTTAAATTATTTGTCTTTTATTACTTTACAATAAGGTTTACACTGATCGGGACCTGCAGTCCTTAAAGAGAGGGCAATGTGGTCTATGTTACAAAGATTCCATTCTTACGCGAGAATTTGCTTTAATTGGGTACTTTTTCATCAAGAAGAAGATCACAGATACCCACACATGTGATCTATGACGTCAATGTTTTGCTGATCGTTTATAAGCAAAACTGAATATTAAAGTTAAGCTCAGTTTCTCCACATGAGTTAAAATGTTAATTAAAGAGAAGTTAATTAAGTACAACGCTGTACCCCTCATCCAATTTGTTGAAATATAATTCTTTCTTGTCTACGTTTTTTACTTAGATTTTTTTATTTATTTATATATTTTATTGTAAACTTGATATATTTCTGTTTTGTGTACCTGGTAACTTCGATGCGTAATTAGTTTGTTAATGTTCTACATGACTTTATACCAGTCTTTGTGTTAGGTAAGAAATATGTAGTGAAAGAAATGAAATACTCATATATTTCAGGAGCAGTATTTTATAATTTTTTAACAGAACTCTTATGATATTGGATTATGATTATACTATAAAAAAGTTAGCAATACTTTTTTATTGTTTCCCAAAATTGTTGTCATTGTGTAGCATTTGAACTGCCATAGATATTTTTAATTCTAGATTTGAATTCTGTTTAAATACAGTTTTAGAAAGCCTTGCAAATAATTACTACTGGATTTTTTTACTGAAGAATTTTCTTTTCATGCACTTTTAAATACATTGAGACAAAATGAATGTTATAGTTATCTATTAAAACTTCAAATTAATAATTAAACCACTAAGTTTAAATATTAATGTAAAATATCATTTAAACTAAACTGTGAACATGGTTTACATTTAACTTTTGCTTACCTATATTTAACCTAAAATTTTAATTTGCAATTATTTAGAAAAATGTGTGTAATATTGTGTGTAATGAGCAAAGAATTTTGCAAATGTGCTATGAATAAGTAAGTGAATAATTGAAGAAGTAATTTGGAGTATAAATAAGTTAACAATGGTATTTCTGTACTGAAAAATTTTGGCATCTTTTTTTAAATAAAGCAAACTATTTATTGTTACATTTTCAGTTCATTTTAAATTTAATAAATACCTTTTTTTTAATTAATGATAGTTTATATTTTCGAAGTTTCATTTTATATTGTAACATTATGTTTTTAATTTAAAAACTAAATAATGCTGAAAGTGAAATTAGAAAATTTAGTTCTTAGGTTTGTGCTAGTCTATTCAGGTGACCAAACAGATCGCAAGGCATTTTTAATAAGGGTTGTTCAAATATTGCGTAAACATCTGAGTTGGGATTGGTTTGTGATCTTCGCTGACAATGCTTACATAAAGCGCTAAAATTTCTTACTTCCAAAAATTTTATTATATGCAAAAAATGTAATAAAAATTAGGAAAAATTATATGTCTGGAATAGTTTTAAGTTTGGCATAATTGGAGAAAGAAAATGCTTACAAAATATTCTTAAAACATTTTTCAGTAAATGAACTTTCCTCTGTAATCAAATATACTAGACTCAATAGAGAAGAATTGGTTTCATAACGAGTCGAAGACAGTTAGTCATAAAAGATGAGATTTTCTTCTGTAATCTAATATACTAAGACTGAATAGAGAAGAATTGGTTTCATAACGAGTCGATGGCAATAAGTCTTAAAAGATAGGATTTTCTTCTGTAATCTAATATATTTTCTTCTGTAATTTAAGACTGAATAGAGAAAAATTGGTTTTATAACGAGTCGAAGGTAATAAGTCATAAAAGATAAGATTTTCTTCTGTAATCTAATATACTAAGACTGAATAGAGAAGAATTGACTTTATAACGAGTCAAAGGTAATAAGTCATAAAAGATAAGATTTTCTTCAGTAATCTAATATACTAAGACTGAATAGAGAAGAATTGGTTTCATAACGAGTCGAAGGCAATAAGTCATAAAAGATAAGATTTTCTTTTGTAATCAAATGTGCTAAGACTGAATAGAGAAGAACTGGTTTCATAAGGAGTCGAAGGCAATAAGTCATACAAGATAAGATTTTCTTCTATAATCAAATATACTAAGACTGAATAGAGAAGAATTGGCTTCATAACGAGTCGAAGACAATAAGTCATAAAAGACGATGATTGCAACTAGTTTAGTCGGTATCTGATTAGATACTTTTCTGTAAAAGTTGAATAATTCATATGGTTCTGTCTAAAATATGTGTATCTGATTGAGATTTTTAGCTCAAAATTTTAGAAAATGAATTAAAACGTAAATTTTGTTTTAAGCAAAGTTGTATCTCCAAAATTTTTTCAAAAACGTATTTATATGGCTCCACTCACATAATATTTGTTCGATCCCTTCGTTATTATATAATGAAAGAAAAAATTTGCTTAAAAGTTATATATTAACATGAAATTAGTATTTTTAATGATATAAATGCTTCTGAGTTGTGAGATAGATGGGGAAATAAAGTTAAACTGCTGTTAGATAGTTATAATGATACTTTATTGCATAAAGATTTGAAGATGTATAATAATTTACACTCAGCACCATCACCACTGCAAATCATACTGATTATACATAAGACTGAACACAGATCTGTATTGCTACATTTTCTGCTAATAGAAAAGTTTTTACTAATCACAAAATTGTTCCATAAAAGTGTTTTACGATACATGTTTTGTTTAATTTTATTTATTATATCCTTGTACATGTTCGGCTATTTAAATTCTCCACGACCAACTTTTATGACCATGGCTACCTCCTTCTTTATGTCCTTCATAACCATGACCACCCTCTTCCTTGTGTCCTCCTCCACTCTTCCATGACCAACTATTTCTATGTCCTCCACCATCTCCATGTCTTTCACTGCTTCCGTGTCTTTCTCCACCTCCTTCTTTATGTTCTTTATGACCATGACCACCCTCTTCCTTGTGTCCTCCTCCACTCCTCCAAGACCAACTATTTCTATGTCCTCCATCATCTCCATGTCTTTCACTACTTCCGTGTCTTTCTCCACCTCCTTCTTTATGTCCTTTATGACCATGACCACCCTCTTCCTTGTGTCCTCCTCCACTCCTCCAAGACCAACTATTTCTATGTCCACCACCATCTCCATGTCTTTCTCCACCTCCATGTTTTTCTTCTCTACCATACTTATCATGTAATAATCCAAGTTTTGGCAAGTGTCCCAAATCTTTCTTCTTATGTCCACCGCTAGAATCTTCATCTACGCCTTCACCACCACTAGCGCCGAGATTATTTTCAAATAACTTATATAAGTCAGAACTAACTGTTTTTGAACCTGATGCCTGATGTTTGTGAAGGCATTTAAAGAAATTAAGGTAATAATTGGCCGGTTTTGTTTTATACCGATGACACCACTTAATGAACTTAAATAGGCTTTCATCTTCTACTTGCACTCCAAAAAGGTAATGGAATACATTTCGATGCTCTTGACTTAAAGCGTTTTTAAACGTAAGAGTTTTTAAGAACTCATACCTTCCTGTATAGTCCAAAGAGTATCCGAAATTTGATCGAGAATATAAGTTTTTGTGGAAGTGTTGATATAGCTTGTCGGTCACACGCTTCGAACTACGGAATTTACGGATAGTACTATGGAAATTTTCTGCAAATCTGTCTGGTTTTTTCTCAAAGTGATGGCAGTATTTAGTGAAGTCAAAAATCTCTTTAGTTTCGGGATAAAATCCGAAAACAACATAGTAAAAGTTCCAGTAGTTCTCCGAATCCTTTAGTTTATCGTATGAGACATCTCTTAAGAAGTAACGTTTTTCCAAGTATTCGGAATTGTTTATGTAAATCTCTTTTGAATGCAAATTCTTTTCATACTTTGTAAAAAGATCGCTGCCAACTTCACGGGATCCAGACGCGAAGTGCAGATTGATAATATTCTGGAAATTGACGACATAGTTACTGGGCTGCTCAGGATATTGATGGCATTTTTTAACGAAATTGAAAAAACTTTCAGTTTCTGGATAAAGTCCTAATAATTTGAAGAACTTGTGTAGGTTTTTAGTAGTTTTCACAGCGCTGAATGTTATTTTTTTCAAAAATTTATGAACGTCAGTGTATTTTATTTTATTCTTTGTTATCCAAGTATAAAAATGAGAGTTTACTTTTCCCGCATAGCGTTTTTTATTCCACCCTCTTGTTTGTTTGAAAGTGACACGTTCCCCGAATCCAATCGCCTCTTTTGATTTTGAGTCCCCTCTATGGTGGGATTTTGAGCCACCATGGTGTGATTTTGGGCTCTTATGATTTTCATGATCAGTCTCTCTTCTGCTGCTACTTTCTGACACATACTTTTCATATGTCTTGTACAGTTTATCTGTGATCTTTATTGAATTCGATTTTTTGTAAAGATTCCAAGCCTTTGAAAATCCTTTTTTGTAGTTTTTAGGTTGCTTTTTGGAACCGTGTGCGTGTTTAGTGAATTTAAACAAACTGCTTGTAATGGGATAGTATCCGAAAAGTTGATAAAACTTGGTGTATAGCATCTTTTGTAGAACATTTGTATAAGACAACTTACTTAAGAACCTGTACCTTTCACTGTATGATGCATTGCTCTTATACTTTATATTTATGTTAAACAAATTGGTACTATATTTCACATAAAAGTCCTTGGTGAGGGTAGTAATTTTTGTGTCAAAAATCTCATTAATGCTATTCTGGAAGTTTATGAAATAGTTTTCTGGTTTTATCTGAAAACTGTGGCAATATTTGATAAATTCAAATATGCTTTCTGATTTAACTTCAATTCCAAACAATTTGAAAAATTTGTCGGAATTCTCTTTTGTTTGGCAGTTTTTGTAAGTAATATCTTTAATGAAGTCTCGCCTGTTGTCGTAAGTGCTTAGTATTCGGCTGGACGTGCGCTTAGCAAACAGCTTTTTATTAAATTGACGGTACAACGTATCTGTAACTTTGCGGGATTTTTTGCTTACAATATTACCAATGACTTTGAAGAAGTTGTCGCTGTAGTTATCTGGTTGTTTCTTGTAATGATGGCAGTATCTGGTGAAATGAAACATTTGCCTTGTTTCGGCATGGAAACCAAATAATACATAAAACATATTTCTCGCATGCTCAGAACTCTTGAGTTTATCATAGCTTAAGCTGCGTAAAAATGTTCGTTTGTAACTATACTGAGAGTTGTTGATGTACCTCTCCTTGGAGTTCAAATTTTTCTTGTACAGCTTATACAAATCTTTTGAAACTTCACGTGATCCCGAAGAGAAATGAATATTCAAACAATATTGAAAATTTGCTTCATAATTTCTGGGTTTCTTTGAAGTTTTATGGCAGTATTTAGTAAAATCAAACAAACTTTTAGACTCCGGGTAATATCCCAACAATTCGAAGAACTTTTTAATAATTTTCGTCGATTTGATTTTTTCAAAAGTAAGGGTCTTCATAAATTTGTATACTACTTCATATTTTACTTTTTTAGTTGTCAAGTGTACATAATATTTTCTATTTTTTCCACCATAATTCTTTTTGTTCCATCCATTTGAATATTTGTACACATAATCACTATCTTTCCTGACCGAGGTATCTTTTTCAATAGTTTCTTCCTTATTATCTTCCCGTTCTTTGTCTTCATGTTCCTCTTCCGGTTTTGTGGTCTCCTCCGCATTAGTATGATTATCTTTGTCGTTTTCGTGGTCTTCTTCAACATTTTCACCTTCTGATGAAGTCGAAACATACTTCCTGAATGTCTTTAATAAATGCTCCGTTACTTTCAGTGATTTGGAGTTTTTAAACTCTTTCCGACATTTTGAAAAACCCGTCTCGTAATTTTTAGGCTTTTTCTTGTAGCTGTGAATTTTTTTGGTGAAGTTAAATAAACTCTTGTTTAGTGGATAATAACCGAAGAGATTGTAGAACTTAATGTAGTATTTTCTCTGGATCACTTCTTTGTAACTCAATTTTCGTATAAAGCTGTACCTCTCTTTGTAAGTTGTCCTTTTATTGTACTTCGTTTTAGTGCTGTATAGGTTTTCATTGAACCTTTCATAGATTTCCTTTGTGATCTCATTCGATTTGGAACTAACAACATAATTCATACAATTTTGGAAATTTTTATAATAATTGTCTGGCTTGTTTGGGAATTTGTGACAAAATAGAATAAAATTAAAGAGGCTCTCTGATTTCGGATACAGTCCAAATAGGTGGGAAAACTGATCTGAGTATTCTTTGCCTTGAATGTCTTTATAGGTTTTATTTATAATAAATGTTCGCCTATTTTCGTAAGTGCTATGGAAGTCAGATCTTGTACCTTTAAACAACTTGTTGTTAAAATGTTCATAATGTTCATCAGATACTTCCTGATCTTCCTTGCTGAGAACATTTTCGATAGAATTTGAGAAGTTATCTAAATAATTGTCAGGTTGTGTGGGAAACTGATGGCAATATCTCGTAAAGTCAAAAATATTCTGGGAATTTGCATAAAACCCAAACAATATGTAGTAGATATGTTTGTATCTTTCTGAAGTCTTCAATTCATCGAATGATAAAGGTGTTAAAAACTTACGTTTAAATTCATATTGTGCATTATTAATAAATTTTTTCGTGGAAAACAGGTTTTTCTCATAGAGTGAATACACATTCTTAGAAACCGTTTTGGAACTAGAGAAGAAATATTCGTTTAGGCTGTACTGAAAATTTTGTTCGTAGTTGTTTGGCCTTTCAGGATATTTATGACAATGTTTAACGAAATTAAATAAACTCTCAGAATCTGGATAAAATCCCAACAATTTATAGAATTGTTCTATTTTTTCCGAAGAAATGGCCTCTTTAAATGTTAAATCTTTTATGTAAGTACTTACGTCCTCATAACGAATTTTATGCTCAGTTATCCACGAGTAGTAAGTATCAATACTTTTCTCGCCATAATGCTTTTTGTTCCATCCCCTTATGTGTTCAGGAATAAGTTTATTATCTTCTTCTACACTAACATTTGTCTTAACAATTTCTTTTTCGGAGTCTTCTGAATCATCCTCCTCTACATAATGATATTTACCATTAGAACCTTTTGCAATGGGTAATTTGATTCGATCTCCAATTTTACCATTTTCACTGTCACCTGATTTTTCATATTTGTAAATAGGGCGACTTCCGCTCGAATCACTAGTTTCTACATCATCCGCTCCCTCGTCGTCGTATTCATAAATCTTGTTTTCATTAAAGTTTTCCCCGTTAGAAGTATCATTTTCATCATTTTCAATATAGATTACATCATTATCGTCACCATTTTCATACGAATTTTCAGGTATGGATTCGCGCTTAGTTTTATGTCCTGGTCTTTTACCTCTGGAGTTATTTTCGTCATAACTTTCATCATTTGGAATTCTCTCTTCAAAATCCCTATCTTGTGATTCAAATTCCTCATCAGATGTGTATATCGAATCGGATTCAGTATCTTGGGACTCAGTACTTTCAAAAGTTTTATATATCCAACTGAATGGAGAACCTTCATTTTCAAAATCATCATCATTTGTAAATGTCTCCTCGAATTCAGTATCGTCATATTCCCGATCGGTATCGCGTCTTCCAGATTGTCTTCTTCTATAGTAAGAGGTATCGTTATCACTATCGGAACTTCTTGAAGAGGCACTTTCCTCCGATGTTTCTTCTCCGTTATGAGAATGACTGGAATACGAATGTTGGCGTTCGCTCCAAATTGGCTTGCCATTTAAAGAATCTTGATCGGAAAAATCATCTTCTTCAAATGAAGATGAATCTGATCTTTCCCTGTGGATGCGGCTGGATTGTCTGGAACTTTCCTCATCAGAGGAAAACAATTCAGAGCTTTCAAATTCATTGTCAATATTTTTATTGATGAATTCCGAAGAATCTGTTTCAGAAGTTTTACCATTCTTAGGTTTCTTGGTGTGATGCTTCTTACCACGTGATCTACCACCGGAGAAATTATTATTGCCATGTCCCCGTGATTCCTTACGTCTGCTGCATTTAGGTTTGCGTCCCTTACCGTGCCTGTCATTTGTTTCACTCGATTCATCTTCATAGTTTGATCTATGTTTGTGTTTTCTGGAGCTTCTTTCATTAAAAGAATCTTCTTCCTCCGAACTTTCAATAGAAGAATATTCATCAAAGTCATTGTGTTTATTAGTTCTTCGCTTTGAACTTCGAATATCTCCATACTTCCCTTTCTTTCCCCTTACACGCTCATTCCTGTCAACATCAAAATCTTCCTCAGAACTAGAGTCATTCAACTCTTTTCTTGTAGTCGAATGTTTTCTTGATTTACGTTCACTCGAATATCTTTCATCTTCTTCTGAACTAGTTACAGAAGATTCATCATGAGTTTTCTTATGATGTTCTTCTTCAGTACTATCATATCTTGGCTTATCATGATCATGTCCTGGCTTATTTCCTGTACCAACGGGAAGAACAATGGGAAGGCCTGGTTTGTTTTTACCATGTTTTGGCTTATCTCCTTTTCCATGTGGATGATCTGGTTTGTCATGATCTCTCCCGGGTTTGCTTCCTTTACCATGGGGGTGATCTTTTCCATGTCCTGGTTTATCTGGATGCGAATCTGGTTTATCCCCTTTACCATGAGGTCGACCACCTGGCCTCTTATGACCATGGTCTTTTCCTGGACTTTTCGGTTTGTGTTTTGAATCATCCGTTTCCGAATCGTGTTTGTGTTTTCGAGAGGAAGAGTGCTTATTCTTTTTATGGTGGCTTGAAGAACTTTCATCTTCTTCTGAACTAGTTTCTGAAGATTCATCATGGGTCTTTTTATGATGTTTTTCTGTGATGCCTCCGGATCCTGGTTTACCATGTCCGTGACGAGGTTTATTTCCTTTACCATGAGGGTGATCTTTTGGGTGACCAGGTTTATTATGTTCAGGCTTATCTCCTTTTCCATGTGGATGACCTGGTTTGTCATGATCTTTCCCGGGTTTGTTTCCTTTACCGTGGGGGTGATCTTTCCCATGTCCTGGTTTATCAGGATGCGAACCTGGTTTATCCCCTTTACCATGAGGTCGACCACCTGGCCTCTTATGACCGTGGTCTTTTCCTGGACTTTTCGGTTTGTGTTTTGAATCATCCGTTTCCGAATCGTGTTTGAGTTTTCGAGTGGAAGAGTGCTTATTCTTTTTATGGTGGCTTGAAGAACTTTCATCTTCTTCTGAACTAGTTTCTGAAGATTCATCATGGGTCTCTTTATGATGTTTTTCTGTGATGCCTCCGGATCCTGGTTTACCATGTCCGTGATGAGATTTATTTCCTTTACCATGAGGGTGATCTTTTGGGTGACCAGGTTTATTATGTTCAGGCTTATCTCCTTTTCCATGTGGATGACCTGGTTTATCATGATCTTTCCCGGGTTTGTTTCCTTTACCATGGGGGTGATCTTTCCCATGTCCTGGTTTATCAGGATGCGAACCTGGTTTATCCCCTTTACCATGAGGTCGACCACCTGGCCTCTTATGACCGTGGTCTTTTCCTGGGCTTTTTGGTTTGTGTTTTGAATCATCCGTTTTCGAATCGTATTTGTGTTTTCGAGTGGAAGAGTGCTTATTCTTTTTATGGTGGCTTGAAGAACTTTCATCTTCTTCTGAACTAGTTTCTGAAGATTCATCATGGGTCTTTTTATGATGTTTTTCTGTGATGCTTCCGGATCCTGGTTTACCATGTCCGTGATGAGGTTTATTTCCTTTACCATGAGGGTGATCATTTGGATGACCAGGTTTATTATGGTCATGCTCAGGCTTATCTCCTCTTCCATGTGGATGACCTGGTTTGTCATGATCTTTCCCGGGTTTGTTTCCCTTACCATGGGGGTGATCTTTTCCATGTCCTGGTTTATCAGGATGCGAACTTGGTTTATCCCCTTTACCAGGTCGACCACCTGGCCTCTTATGACCTTGGTCTTTGCCTGGATGCTTCGGTTTATTTTTTGAATCATCCGTTTCAGAATCGTGTTTGTGTTTTCGAGTGGAAGAGTGCTTATTCTTTTTATGGTGGCTTGAAGAACTTTCATCTTCTTCTGAACTAGTTTCTGAAGATTCATCATGGGTCTTTTTATGATGTTTTTCTGCGATGCCTCCGGATCCTGGTTTACCATGTCCGTGATGAGGTTTATTTCCTTTACCATGAGGGTGATCTTTTGGGTGACCAGGTTTATTATGTTCAGGCTTATCTCCTTTTCCATGTGGATGACCTGGTTTGTTATGATCTTTCCCGGGTTTGTTTCCTTTACCATGAGGGTGATCTTTCCCATGTCCTGGTTTATCAGGATGAGAACCAGGCTTATCTCCTTTACCATGAGGTCGGCCACCTGGCCCCTTATGACCGTGATCTTTTCCTGGAACCTTCGGCTTATTTTTTGAGTCATCTGCTTCAGANATGCGAACCTGGTTTATCCCCTTTACCATGAGGTCGACCACCTGGCCTCTTATGACCGTGGTCTTTTCCTGGACTTTTCGGTTTGTGTTTTGAATCATCCGTTTCCGAATCGTGTTTGTGTTTTCGAGTGGAAGAGTGCTTATTCTTTTTATGGTGGCTTGAAGAACTTTCATCTTCTTCTGAACTAGTTTCTGAAGATTCATCATGGGTCTTTTTATGATGTTTTTCTGTGATGCCTCCGGATCCTGGTTTACCATGTCCATGATGAGGTTTATTTCTTTTACCATGAGGGTGATCATTTGGATGACCAGGTTTATTATGGTCATGCTCAGGCTTATCTCCTTTTCCATGTGGATGACCTGATTTGTCATGATCTTTCCCGGGTTTGTTTCCCTTACCATGGGGGCGATCTTTTCCATGTCCTGGTTTATCAGGATGCGAACCTGGTTTATCCCCTTTTCCAGGTCGACCACCTGGCCTCTTATGACCGTGGTCTTTGCCTGGATGCTTCGGCTTATTTTTTGAATCACCTGTTTCAGAATCGTGTTTGTGTTTTCGAGTGGAAGAGTGCTTACTCTTTTTTTGGTGGCTTGAAGAACTTTCATCTTCTTCTGAACTAGTTTCTGAAGATTCATCATGGGTCTTTTTATGATGTTTTTCTGTGATGCCTCCGGATCCTGGTTTACCATGTCCATGCTTAGGCTTTTTTCCTTTACCATGAGGGTGATCATTTGGATGACCTGGTTTATTATGATCATGCTCAGGCTTATCTCCTTTTCCATGTGGATGACCTGGTTTGTCATGATCTTTCCCAGGTTTGTTTCCTTTACCATGAGGGTGATCTTTCCCATGTCCTGGTTTATCAGGATGAGAACCAGGCTTATCTCCTTTACCATGAGGTCGGCCACCTGGCCCCTTATGACCGTGATCTTTTCCTGGAACCTTCGGCTTATTTTTTGAGTCATCTGCTTCAGAATCGTGTTTGTGTTTTCGAGTGGAAGAGTGCTTACTCTTTTTATGGTGACTTGAAGAACTTTCATCCTCTTCTGAACTAGTTTCTGAAGATTCATCATGGGTCTTTTTATGATGTTTTTCTGTGATGCCTCCAGATCCTGGTTTACCATGTCCATGCTTAGGCTTGTTTCCTTTACCATGAGGGTGATCTTTTGGCTGACCAGGTTTATTATGATCATGCCCACGTTTATCTCCTTTTCCATGCGGATGACCTGGTTTGTCATGATCTTTCCCGGGTTTGTCTCCCTTACCATGGGGGTGATCTTTTCCATGTCCTGGTTTATCAGGATGCGAACCTGGTTTCTCTCCTTTTCCATGTGGATGATGATCTGAATGTCCTGGCTTGCCATGGCCTGGTTTGTTGTGATCTTTTCCCGGCTTATTTCCTTTATCATGGGGATGATCAATTGGATGACCTGGCTTATCTTTACCGTGGTTAGGTTTATCACCTTTTTCATGAGGGTGACCCTTAGGACCTTTATGATCATGATCCTTGCCTGGACTTTTAGGTTTAGTTTTTGAATCATCTGATTCTGAATCGTGTTTATGTTTTCGAGTAGAAGAATGCTTACTCTTTTTATGGTGACTTGAAGAACTCTCATTTTCATCTGAACTAGTTTCTGAAGATTCATCATGGGTCTTTTTATGATGCTTTTCTGTGTTGCTGCCGGATCCTGGTTTACCATGTCCGTGATGAGGTTTATTTCCCTTATCGCCTGGGTGTCCACTTTTGTGACCGGGCTTACCATGATCATGTTCTGGCTTATTTCCTTCATGCGGGTGATCACCTGGGTGACCTGGCTTATCATGACCCTTGCCGGGCTTATCTCCTTTGCCGTGTGGATGACTTGGTTTGTTGTGATCTTTACCGGGCTTACTTCCCTTACCATGGGGATGATCTTTTGAGTGACCTGGCTTATCATGATCTGAGCCGGGCTTATCTCCTTTACCATGAGGATGATCACCAGGTCCCTTATGACCATGATCTTTGCCTGGAACCTTCGGTTTATTTTTTGTTTCATCTGTTTCAGAATCGTGCTTGTGTTTTTTAGTGGAAGAGTGTTTACTCTTTTTATGTTGACTTGAAGAGCTTTCATTTTCATCTGAACTAGTTTCTGAAGATTCATCATGTGTCTTTTTATGATGCTTTTCTGTGATACTGTCGGATCCTGGTTTTCCATGTCCATGCTTAGGCTTATTTCCTTTGCCCTTTGGTTGATCTCCCTGATGTCCTGGCTTGTCTTTACCATGATCTGATTTATCCCCTTTACCGTGGGAATTATCAACGGGTTTCTTTGGCTTTTTGTCCTTGTGCGTTTTCGTAATTTTGTCATCAGACTCGGAATCATGTGTATGCTTTTTTGAGGACGAATGCTTGTTTTTTTGGTGTTTACTCGAAGAGCTTTCACTTTCTTCCAAACTATTATCAGAGGACTCACTGTGATTTTTTTTGTGATTTTTATCGGTGTGCTTGCTTGATTCTTTTCCACCTTTTTGATGATTTTTTCCACCTTTTTCTTTATGAGTATCATGTTTCTTGACATTACTTTCATCATTGATGTCCTTTTTCAAAGAATGGCTGTGTTTGCTTAAAGAATGCTTAGAATGTGAACTGTCCTTTTCATCCATTTCTTTTGACGATTTATTGCTACTGGACTTTCTACTGGAATGCTTAGTTTTCCCTCCATTTCTGCTATCACTCTCATCTTCTTCTTTCTGACTGCTCTGTTTACTGGATTTATGCTTTGAATGAGAACTACTATTTTCATCTCTTTCTTGCGTAGATTGATCTCTTTCTTCATATCGACCTGTTTTCTTTTTAGTACCTGATGCGTCACTTCCATTTAAAAGTTTTTCTTTTTTGCTCTTGTTTCTGCTTGAAGAGTGTTCGTGGCGAGACATGCTTTTTCGATCCTCTTCGTCCTCTGATTGGGAACTCTCTTTGGCACTGCTTGAGTGTCTACTTTTACCATTTTCAGAGAAATCTGTTTCGCTCCTACCACTTTTCTTCTTCGATGAGTGTTTCGAGTGAGCACTATTACTTTGTTCATCTTTATCAGAGGACTTATAACTTTCACTCTCTGATATCCTATCTCCTCTCTTACCAGAGCTTGAACTAGAAGTGTCCCTTTCTCCACTTTTATAGACCTCCTTATTTCTTGAACTGCTTGAATCTTCTTCATCGAAGCTGTTACTACTGCTAGAACTACTGTAACTACTGGAGCTCTTCGATCTACTAGAGTCACCAGAGTCACTCGAGCTACTAGAGCTACTATAACTACGTCTGGAACTTGAAGAACCATCTGATTCCTCTTCATCGTATTCAGTTACAGTTTCGTAAACTGTGTCTCCATTTTCATCAGTGTAAGTCCGAGTTTGCGTAGTAGGCTCTGATGGTCTTGCCAGAACAGTCGATAAGGCTGAAAAATATTAATTTCATATATTTTTCATACATACAAAAAATAATAGATATGAATTAAAATAAAAAAAATATGTGTGGCGAGTTTTATATTTAGTTTGGCCCATCAAAGCCACCTTGTTTTTTTAGATTTCTTACTATATATAAAAATCAAATCGCAGTTTTCCATTGTTGTCCGTGCATTTCTATTGGCCGAAAAATCACGGGGTAGGATCCAGTTTTTCCTCATTCATTTCCATATTGTTTTGGTTGTCATCAGCATAACATTAATAAAAGTCTAATAATGAAATAAATGTATTGTTTTTCTATAAATATTTTCGCATCCCTAATTTAAAGTTATTTTCTTGTACTATTATTATTACACTCTTAATTCAAGAGCTTAAAACTAAGAGAATTGTTTTTTTTTTTAATTATTATTATAGTGTAATTCTGCGCTACAAAGATAAAGCCATTTAGAAAGGTGGTCTAATTTTATTAACCCTTTGCTTAAGGTATAACTATGGCCCACATGTTGCACCAGCCGTAATCAAAAGATTAACCGTTTTACAGTTCTTATTTTCGTGCAAATAACATTAATATACTGTTATAAATTATTGTTAAAGAGATCTGTTAATTTAGAACCTAACGATCAGCTTCATGCACAATGAGATGCAAGCAAAAATAGTATTTAATATATTCGCCAGTTTGGTAAGCGAAAGTATTAAATTACGATTGTGAAATCATCAAATTTGTTTGAAGAACATAATGTTATAACAATATAAATGTTATTTCAAAAAACAATTACTTAGAAAAATTACTTCAGTTCACCTGTAGATCTAAATATTCATAATACTGACAGATGATAGTATTCGGACGTGGAAAGTGGAGGCCCAAGCGTAAGCAAACAGAATTGCTTTTAGTACATATATGTTAAGTGAATAATTTTAATTTTAGTAGAAAACTGTTTTCTGGCAAGAAACAACAATTATTGAGAAGAAATCATCGGGGCTGGTAAGCGACAGCGAACAGGGAGCTTAGCCCCCCAGTGAGCTTATATATTTTTATTTTTTCCAGTTTTGCGGTATTAAGAATGAAGTTAGTACTCCAGTGATATAATAAACTTGCTTAAAACTTAATATTATCAAAATTGTTAATCATGGTAAATTTTTTTTATCCACATTCAAATTTTTAAAGTTATTTTATAAATCAGCTTTAAATTTATCACAAGTGCTAAAGAAATTTGCGCAATAACAACTGCTTATAAGACTAACGCTGCTTATAGAAAAAACATTGTTGAATATGATTTTTTTTATTGTTATAAAGAATATTGTATTAAATTAAAATTTATAAAATGTTATAAGATGAGACTGAGTTTGTAAATCATTTAATATTAGGTAAGTGAATCCACATTCGAAATAAGCTGAAAGATTCATAAATTTCGACAAAGCTTTCATATCGTCAAAATAAAAATATATTAAGATGTAAAATGTATAAAACTCTGCCTAAATATATTAAGAAGACGCTTTACCGTCAAAAAATCACATCTGATTCCTTTAAAATTGTCAAAATTATTTTGTTTGAGAAGGAGCCAAAACGAAGGAATGTGCATAGTTGCATCTCCTTCAAACTAATAAATAGTTCCAGCTATATAATGATTTAAAAAAAAAGAATTTAAGAATAATAAAGACTTATTAATTTGTGCTCTGAACAAGGAAACTTATTAAATTCATTTTTGAACAGTTTATTTATTATTTCTGTAAAAGTGTCATTTTTTATAATTAATTTATCACTTTTTTATTAACCTTTTGGTTACGGTTGGTACAACATGTGGACCACCTGTGATGGTACAACTTGGAACACCGTAACCAAAGAGTTAATGCATGCGTATGTATAATGCTTTTTTCCCCCGCAGTGATAACCATCCAATGAGTTAGCAAATATCTAAATGGCATCTACTAAAGAAAACACTATTAAAATCTAATTTAAACGTAAATTAATTTAATTTAGAAATGTGTTTTCAAACCACAAGGGAATCTTTAAGTCATGTTTTTCTAGGATGAGATCCTCTAAATATTTCCTTCTCGCTCTCGTTAAAATGGCAGGGTAAAGTTCCGTTCTTATTTCTGGTGCCCGTGATATTTCTGAGATGGAGTGTTCAAAAGTAACGTTTCAAAAAGATTAAAGCAATTTATTTCTTATCTCCAGAATCAGGTTTGTTGATGAATCCAGTGGCGTAGCTACCAAGGGGCTAGGCGGGGCAGTGCCCCAGGGCCCTCAAGCTCAGGGGGCCCTCGTATCCTTACCAGAAATCTCGATCGAACTGAACTTTTGGAAATTTCTCCCATTTTCAAAATAAATATGACAGGTTGCATCCCCACTTTAATCATGACAACTCAGTTGAGAGAAATTCAAAAGTTATGCCTAGGGAAATCCCCTAAATTCTTTCTGTAGGTTGGTAGTGTTGTCAATTTGACGGATAGTGATATGTGCGTTTTATTATTCATCGATGTGCTTTTTATTGTGAATTCGAGTTACGATTTTTTTTTCGAGAACGGTTAAAAAATTAATGCTGTATCGGGAGTAAGTAAGCTAATGTCAGTAAACTTTTTGGTACTGGTCAATATAGTGGTTCAATTTTATTTGATTTTACCACTCATATTGATGTCCGTTAAGTCAACAAATCGTGTCAAATCTATAGATTTCGGCTACAGCTCATTGTACAACGCGAAATATCGTGAAAAAATGCAAGTCACCTGCAGTAGGCACATTAATTCAGGTCCGAGGGCCTGATGCCTTTCCTTTCCAATAAATAAGCAGACCAGATTTTTAAAACAACAAAACTTAACTTTATTTAAAAACAAAAGAAATAGGCATTGTTTTCCAATTAAGAGCTTCCAGCTTTTAGAATAGCAAGGGAGACCCTCTCCCGATTATATCAAACATGCCTTTCTCTTCTCTTTGAAACAAACCTTTCTCTCTCTCGCATCCCTCCGACGGGATGACAAAATGCGCCAAGTGCGCCCTAAAAGGTCGCCAAACAGTTGCCAACCATTACAGTCTCCACCATTAAGTGTGGTAACACTAACGGTGATAATTTTTTTTCCGGGGATTCCCCAACGACACTTATAGCGTATCATTGTGTTTCTCTTTCCTTTTATTTTACTTTTAACGTCGTCAGTGATCAGTGAGTACCTACCTACTGGAGCACAATCTAATATTGTATTGCTTGAATAAATTAGAAAACTAAAATTATGGATAAAAAGAAGAAACCCAGTGGTGCATTTAAACGCAAACAACGTCAAGAAAGAGAAGATAGTAAACAAAAATTGCCCAAAATTGACAAGTTTTTTAGTCAGCATTCTGCAAGTACATCTGGCCAAAATATTTCTATTGATAGTGACTCAAAAAATGTGGTAACTGCAGTGTTGGTTGAGAAGCCTACTGAAGAAGATTCGACAATTATTGCAGTTGGAGATACCTCCGCCGCCGATCATGTGAACGTGGATGATGTTTGCATGACACACATAAGAACGGAGGGTTTGGAAGAACCACAGACCTCTACATTTTTAGAAAATGTGTACGACAAATCTTCTTATGACTTGGGAAACTTCCCGAACAAGATATTAAGTGTTAACAAAAAACGTCAAATTCTTGATATGGGGCCTTTACAGCCTTCAGGACCTTTTCCAACAGACATCAACCGGAACAATAGGTGTTTTTCAAAATCGTACTACGGTTCATGTTCTAAATATGGGCCAGTTAATCGTTATTGGTTGTGTTATTCCAAAATACTAGACGCTGCCTATTGTCAACCCTGCTGGTTATTTGCTTCACAAAGGAATAATGTTTGGTGTACGGGAATTCGAGATTGGAAGCATTTATCAGAAAGAATTAAACAACACAGTTGTTCGAGTGGCCATTCGGAAGCATGTGCTGTGTATGAATTTTGGAAGAAAAAAAACGATACTAATACTATCGACAAGGAACTTGAAAATGAAATTCGCAAAGAAGCATCATNTCAAAGGGGTGGACACTAATCTGTGAAGATAAGGCACGAATTTCAACTCGTTTACACTCTCAGTTCAGTTAAGGAATCCTGCAAATAAGTGTCACAAATTAAACTATGACGAGCAGTAAATGTAAAACGTTCTTCATTTAAGATAAGATGGACATAAACTGAAAAATGGATGTAATCAAGCCAATATTTGCAATAAAAATAAAAGTTAACACATATTTTGTTACTACATATCTATTATTTTTCAGTCATTTATTTAAATAATGTATAATAAAAGGAGGAGTTTGGAACCATTAGTTAAATTGTCTGAGGAACGGATATAGTGAACTCCCGGTTATAGTGAACCATAATTTCGGTCCCTTGAAGGTTCACTATAGCGGGGTTTGACTGTATTTGACATGCTGAAAGAGCTACTTCTATTTGTGAACTAAACGCAAATTATAAAACGCGATAATTTCTAACTGTTAAACTTGTTGCGGGAGGAAAATACCACACGGATTGCTCTACAGACCACAGGAATATGTAAATAAGAAGTTGAAATTTGGCATGCTGAAAGGGCAACATTTGTTTCTGAATTTAACAGTGAGTTTTTTTTTCCGTCAAAATTCTAATTTGTTCGAAAGCTATTGTGATTTTAAGTGCTTTTTTTACAAATTTTTTAACTTTTGTTTGTTTTACATTACATTTCGCTTAGCTACTCCTAATCTATACGACATCAATTATGCATCCAAAACTTTACAAAAATGCGACATCAATTTGGGCGAGGCGAGTAAAGTTTTAGCAGAGACCAAAGCAAAGTTGCAAATTTATAGAAATGATTTCGAATTATTCAAGTGCAAAGCCAGTGAAACTGCAAGAAAATATGGTATTGATACCCATTTTCAAGAAAAAAGGCAAAGAAAAGTTAAAAAACATTTTGATGAATTAGCTGCTGATCACCGATTTCCAAACCGAGAAAAAATATTTAAAATTGAGATTTTCAATAATGTACTAGACACAGTAATATCTCAATTAGATACACGTTTTATTGGTATGAGTGCAGTCTGTCATATATTCGATTTTCTAACACCAACATTTTTATTACATGTTGATGAAGCAACTTTATTACAAAAGTGTGACGAATTCCAAAGAAAATATTCAGATATAATAGGCCCTAGTTTTTCACTTCAATTTATTAATATTTACCACCTAGTTTTTCCTCAACTAACTCAAGCATGGACTGTTCACCAATTATGTAAGGAAATAATGAGCAAATATGGAGTGCTAGAATGCGACCTAACGGAAGTATTTACAGCAATGTTATTATTCTTTACAATTCCTGTCACTTCTGCAGCAGCTGAAAGGTCATTTAGCAAATTAAAAATAATAAAAAATTATTTAAGAAATAATATGGGCCAAATTCGACTCCGACATTTATCGCTAATAGCAATTGAAAACAAAACCGCATCAAGCCTGGATTTAAACGAAGTCATTGATACTTTTGCGAAAACTAAAGCTAGGAAAAAATTGTAAATATAATTGTTATTTAGTCAGTTGGTAGGCCCGACCTTCGTATAATAAACCCTTGAATCTTCTCTATTTCGTTTTATTAGCCAAACCTACACCAAGTATTAATTGTAATTTATGTTGTTACTGTTTAATATTTTTATTACCTGCCGTGCAGTGCACGAAAAAGAGCTTAAGTAGCTTAGCATTTTCGCATATTTAGTATAGTACTTAGCAAAGTATTTGTATATTTCATATTTTTATTTGATAAAACCTAATCAGTTTACATAGCAGTGGGGCCCCATTTTTTAATTTGCCCCAGGGCCCTTGGTTACCTAGCTACGCCACTGGATGAATCCTATATATGAATTGGCAGAACCAGATTCCTTGTAATTTGTTTAGAAATAGCCTTAAACTACATGCATCTTTAGATGTCACTCCTTAAATATGCGATTAACCCAAACATTAAAAATGAATACGTATATTATACATACTTTTACAGTTATATAAATTTCTTGAATAAAAAAATAGTCACATTTGTGACCATTTTCTTCAAAATTATGCGACCATTAAGGGGTAAAATCATTATTTAATTTAACTTAATTTCACGAAAGTGACAAATTTGCAATTGTGTACATAAAGTTTAAGAATTATCAAATTTTTTGCTTAAGTTCTAATCAAATTTAAATCAATGTTTTTGCTTTAATGCTTCTTTTGAAAAATTTAGTTCTTTTTTTAATTCAATAGTTTCGAATAGTGAATGGCATAGCTTAAGTTCTAACCAAATATAAATCAATATTTTTGTTTTAATGCTTTTTTTAAAAAAAAAATTCAATTATTTTCTTTTTTAAAATTCAGTAGTTTAGATTAGGGAATGGTATAGCTTAAGTTCTAATCAAATATAAATCAATATTTCAATAATAATCAATATTTTAGCGTAAAGGCTTTATTTCATTTTGGACTGCAGTAAAAAAAGCATCGAAATGTTTTTGATGTGTCAAATCAAGCATTAAAACTGTTTCATAGCTGGATGTAATTTGAAAATACTTCTAATAATTTCTATTTAGGTATTCACAGTCTCCTGCAGCAGTTAACATGTTTTAAGGATTTTAATATTGTCCTCCTCGTTTTTGATATGCCAGATTTAAATAATGCAACAATAGTCCGTTACAAAGGCATTTCATAATAGCAAATAGAATTGTCATTATAGTGAGCTTGTCGTAATTATAAAATGCACACATTTAATGTTAAAATAGCAAGAAAAGTGCAATAGCTTTTGACGTCATTTATAGTACTAAATGTTGACATTCGAAGTAAACTTTCAAGAAGAGAAATATGCGATCAAGAAATACGAGTTCTTTAACATTGCTAAAGAACTCGTTAACTCTTTTAAAAATCGCCAATTTGGCGTCATTTTCCCCCTAGAGGAGAATTATTAAAATCACTACCGAAAGCTCAGTTTTTGCAAATTTTTATGAGCCCAGATAATGCAGCATTGGAGTATGTTTTTAAATGTTAAAAAATTAGACCACAAGCGCTTTTCATTTTTTAAAAAAACTGCGGCTTTTAAGAAAATGACGTTTTGCACCTTTTTCAGAATTGTCATAGACAGCGCTGGCATTAGATAGCCTAAACTTGACCGAACATTCATGAGTAAATATTGCAAACACGCAGCAGTTATGGAAATGGTATATTATTCGTAAAAAAGCTTCGTTTCATATCACGACAGAGCCTTCGAAAAAAAAGACTTGAACATTTGCTGCAGATTCTTGAAAATAGCAGAAGACATTTTCTTTTGAAAAGAGGAAAATAACTTTGCAGGTGGTCGCGCCCACTTAGATATGCTTTATAAGCAAAAAGTTACCTTTTTCGTTCAATACTGCTTAGTTAAACAACATAAAAATGTACTTCCTTAAAAAAAAAAAATAATAATAATTCGCCGCAGTAGCGGAAGGTTAGGATGTTTTTTTTAATTTGTTATTAAGGGGCTAAGCCTCCTCTTCGCTGCCGCCCCCCAGCCCCTATGATTGCTTCACATTAATTGCTGTTAACAAGTTTTTATACTAAAGTTAAAATTATTCAGTTAACATATATGTACCAAAAGGAAATCTGTACGCTTACATTTGTGCCTCCACTTCCCATGTCCAAATATTAATATCGATTAATATTATAAATATTTAGATCCATTGGTGAACAGAAGTAATTTTTTTAAAATAACATTAATATTGTAATAACATTATATTGCTCAAGCAAATTTGATGAGTTCACTATCGTAATTTAATATTTTCGCATACCAAATGGACGTATATATTAAATACTATTTTTGCTAGTATCCCATTGTGCATGAAGCTGATCGCAAAGTTCTAAATCATTTGACAGATCTTTTTAACTGTATATTAATTTTATTTCAACAAAAATAATAATTGTAAAACGGTTAATGAGATTAGATCATTTTTCTGAATAACCTTATCTTAAAATGTAGAGCAGACTTACATTATAATAGTAATAATAATAATAATAATAAAACAACAATTCTCCTAGTTTTAAAACTTTTCGTAATAAAGAACTTCCACGCAATAAACCGAATTCGTTATATCGAGATTTTATAATGGTTTTCTTCTTAGCCCAAATGAACAAATCTTTTAAATTGTATATATTTTTTGAGTCCATTTTCGACAATTTAATTTTATTCAAATTAAAGTATTCATTTTCCTCACTAAAATATCAGTTTATAGTATGAAATTAATCGAAACTTTTTTCTACACCGAGAATTATTCAAGCTCTTTAAAATCAAGGAACTTAATTTTAAATTAATTATAATTAAAACTTATAATAAATCAAATTAGAAGTTGAACAGAAATCACAAATATAACTTTGATCATGCCTCGTTGCATTGATAGTTTTTTTCCCTATCCTTTAAAGTTAAGTCATGTTTTCTTGGGATTTTGTCTCAGTCTAGTCATAGCCGATTTTGTCATACCCGATTTTGTCCGACTGTCTATTTAACAGAAAAGAAGACTTATAATATTTTAAACGAGATGTAAGAGCTGCTATAATAATTTAAAATAATGCCTAAAAGAGGCGTCATCAGATGTTTACTTTACTGAAAATAAATCTTCAAAAATTTAGAAACAACAGGATAGAATCGGGAAAGTAAAAATGAATTTATTTCTAATCATTGTTTTTTTTTATTTTTAAAAAAAATGCTGCTTGCAAGTAATTGGTATACATTGTGTTTCATTCATTTCTAAATAATATGGTGACTGTCTCTAACTAGTTTCATGTGATTTCTGATAAAAGATAACAATTAGCTTAGCTAAAAGAACCGGATCCCGGTTTTGTTCTCCTCTTCGGTTTTGTCCAACTTTTCTCCATAACTAAGAGAAAGTTCTTAAAAATAATATAAAATATTTCTTGTTTCATTAATAATTGTCTATTAATTTTGATATAAAAAGTGAATGCCTTTTTCAAACACTATCTACTGTCAGAAGTTTTCCATCATCTTACAAACTCAAATATTTCCAAAATCCAAAAATATGTTCGCATTATTTTTATGTTACGTACCGGATTATTAAACCTTTTCACCATTTTATGTAAAGCTTAGAAGGAGTTAACTTTTAAGCCTTTTCTTGCTAACATTAAGAAAAAAGAAGAAAAGGGAGTTGTAGCATGATGTTCAAAACATGCTTAATTTGAAGCCGTTTAAGAGTTTCAACTTATTTGAGAAAGTTTTCCTAGGAGTTTTTTTTTACCGTGGCAATACATCTTAACAATAAGAGCATATCTGATTTAAAATACTGAAAGAATATCTGCTATACATTCATTGAGACTTAACTAGACATCGCACAACATTAGAAGTTAATATTAGTACTTACGAAGAATAAAGGCTAGCCATATAGCAAGGCGCATGAGTGCCTTGCGCTTATCCATGGAAGGAATCTGTCCTGTCTCCTATTGCTGTCAGGAATTGTAACCCAGCTATCAGGAAATCAGGTTGCAAATCGCTTGTGAATCTCTCAAAGAAATTGATGAGTATTTATATGCTTCTTTTCAAAATGATTGCTAATGTTACGTAAGATGCAATTTAAATCTGAACCAACAAATAATTTATTCTAATTGTGGACAAAGGAGAAAATAGATATGCTACTTCAAACAAAAAAATCCTTTTAATTGAGTCTTTTGAATCACGATTCGCTGTTTGCGTATGAGATGCATTGATTATGATCTAATGATTCGCAAATTAATTTACTTTCCAAACATTTTCAGCATTGGAATCTCATTCTTAAGAAAGTGATGCAAAAGGATAAGGAAAAAAACAAAACAAACAAAAATTATATCTTCTAATGGTTGGCAGCTGCGTAACTATTTTTAAAAAATTTTGATGATTAAAAAAAATATCGTCCAGAAATAACTCCAAGCAATTTAAATTTTCGTTGAAATGATGCTACTAGTTATAAAATTTGAGGTTTAAGTGGTCAAAATCGTTAATGTATATATCATATAAGTAATTTTCGAAGTAAAGTTAATCAACTGAATTAATTTTTTTTAATTCGAGAAATATCTATAACTATTTTGCGCAAAAGGAAGACTATATATTTTCGAAGCATTAAGAGTATTGAATGGCTGCGAACGAAACGGATGCTTGAATTATGGAGAGAATTTTTTTTATTTACATTGCACGCTATTTGAATTTGGAGTATTGTAAAGTTTGAGTTTGGAGTGAATGTAAAGTTCTGCAAATGTGATATAAAAGGAATAAAAAAGTATAACTTTTTGAAAAGAGTATTACAAATTTTGAAATTGAACGATTATTATGAAGGTACTCCCTTCGAAAAGCAATAAATAACGTTTAATCTATATTAATAATAAAACTTGTTTTCAGTATTTCAATGTTTTCAAAAAATTTGTGTGCTTAAAATATTTGCAAGAAACGATTTCTGAAAAAGGCGTAAGATTTTTGCAAATAAAATAAATGCAGCAATCATGTACAGAAAGAACTTTATAAACGAAATCTTCTCTAATGGATTAAAAAGAAAAAGTAATGATCAATGTGTTTTTTATTTTATTTTATGTCCATCGTTGAACAGCCAACCCAATTTTCGATTTTACGACAGCGAATGTTCAACTCCGTAGTCTTGTAATTTTGAACCCTACTCAGAAGACCAGTGAACTCCTAGATCAATACTCACAGAGGTATGATTTGTTATGGAAGCGAAGACTTTGTGACTCGACAGATTTAACGTGCATCAGTCTCCATCTACTACACTTTATGATGGAACTAACCAGAATTTGTCTTATATCGAGAGAGAGGAAATCCACAAAAGCCTGCCACGGTTAGCTTGATGGTAAAGGGACTCTAACCCATGATCCATCTACCACTGAGGAAAATTTACGTCAGCACTGTGGTCAGTGCGAGTCGGGTACGGAATTCGTATTGACCAACCCTCGCTGGGATTTGAATCTGGTTCACCACATTGGAAGGCGAATGCTCTATCTCCTGAACCATTGCAATCCGATAAATATGTATTATAGTGATTCAAAGTCGTTTAAAATCATCATTATTATTAATAATATTTTTCACATTTTTAGTGAAATAATTTAAAACTTTTAGATTGGAAAAAATGATAGACTCAAAACAATGAGTTTCAATTATATACTTTGTGAAATTAAGTATTAATAAATAATTTTTGCTCATTACGGTACTAGTATACTGCAATTGATATCGATGATGAGAAGAGTATTTTTTAAAAATGTAAACGGACAGTTCTCAAATGGTGGGAAAGTAACACAAATCTAAACTTTAAGCTTTGCGAACGGTGAAGTTTTAATTTATTCCTCAGTTAAATTTTGTAAGTTTATTTTTAATTCTTCTTATTGATAGAAATTAACATAAATTATAGCATAATTTTTTTTTAATAAATACTTTAATAAAAAATTTATTCTAATGATCTAAAAAAAGATAAGATGTGAATGTAATGATTTATTGTAATGATTAGGCAAAAAATTTATCGTGCTGCTATACCATATTTTTCAAATATCTTAAAAAATCATTAATTTTTTGACCTTTTAGTGTTTTTTTCTTTAACTGTATAGTTTTCTCTTTAGTTTCTCCTTACTTTGTCGGATCTCTGTTTTACCATTTCTTCCTTTTATCCTACAGGTGAAGATGTACTATTATAAAATCGTAACGTGCATAGGTTTTAATTTTTTAAATTTTAATTTTATTTTTACAATTTGAAATTTAAACGTAAAGAAATTTTAATATTATCATAAAGAATTTCTCTCGTAATTTTATAGTAACGCAGGCTAAGAGTTCAATATCAAAGTCTACCAAAATCCAATGTGGAATGAATATTGAGAGATTTAGCATATCCTGAAGTGTATCTTTGATTATGAGTTTATCCTTTGTCTTAGGATTAGTTTTAAGCCAGTCTTTTCAGTAAACGCCTTCCAATAAGGCGAGTGCTCTATCACTGAGTCATCAAACACAGGTGATGGTTTGTTGAATCGAATTCTAGCACCAAATAAATTACAGACGCTAAACAACCCCTTTGTATAGGTTAAACTTTCCTTGCCGTTGGACTGACCATGGAAAGTTTTAATGGTTTCCTTTCTGTGTTTAGCAATTACGGTTAGTTGAACCAAAAATCTTCCAAGAAGGCTAGTTTTTTCTAATGCTTGATCCTTTGTCTTCTCGATTAGGTTTAAAAGGACAAGTCTACGGAGTTGAATATATTGATAGTCGCGAGCCTAAAAATGGACAAGCTGTTTAATGTCGGTTATAAAATCAAATCAAGTAAAACAAACGTGACTTATTCATGTAGCCCACTTATTAAACAGAAGATAAAGTTCAAGAAAGATGGCGCATGTAGGATATCATTTATAAAATTTACGATTTTTGCTCCCAGCAGCAATTATAAAAAATATCTCCTTTACAAAAAAACTATAAATTACGTAGTTGGTATGATGGTTAATACGTTGTATGCATGCGGTAAAATACAGTTCGCACAACGTCTAAGTATGCTAAGTATCAAATTATCCAGCTGATCTTAAGAAAGATCACTCAACTCAGCAAGTAATGCTCTCCTTAGTTCCGGTACAGATGTAGGACGTGGCTAACGGGATACAACTCGACTGCCTGATGTATTCCACACTATTGGATTGGCTATATTGGATTCAAGTTGAATGAAAATGCTGACTATTCCATGCTGGTGATATCCTCAGATTGAAAACATTCTTCTACGATGCTTACTTATTGAGGGTAGATAGATTATTGTCTTCTATAAACACAAATTTTGAGCCCCCATGGCACCCCTAAACAAGCGTACAAATTGTTCTAGAATGATGTCTTGTCATGGTTCCCATTTTTACAGGCAGATCTGTTCTGAAGCTAAGTATAATTCTATCTCAAACGAAAAATGTTGCACCATCGTAAAGTTGTTTTCCATACGAAATTTCGATGTGAATCAGACTGCAAGCTAAACCTGGGCCCGTCGAAAAACATAATACAAGCCCACTGTGTTGATGTTCACATTGCATGTATTCTACTCAAGGCTAATCGCTGGCGGAGTTGTTGTGAGTGGAACTCATCTGAAATTCTAGTGAGCATATAAACTAATATTTCCAAAACGTCTTTATGCGGTTTGCCAAGAAACCGTGGTACTCGTGGCCTGGAGAGAGCAGACGAGACAATTCGGGTGCTGTGCATCGTGTGCTTTGTTTAGAAGTTACTATCTAAGAGCGATGTTCATTTGGCGTTGTAACTCGGAGGTAACTATAACGTAAACTGTAAAGTTTTCTTACATTCGCATCATATTGGAATTGTCGTCAAAACCTAGAGATGACATTTTGGACAATTCCAAGTTTCTCATATACTGCCCTCATTGCAGGCGTCCGATAATTCTACCAAGCAGAAATTCATCCAAATGTGTACTCTGTGCCATAACTATTCGTTTATTGTGCTGAGTGGATCACCGACTGCTGTTGAACATCCTTATTTATTTGCCACAATTTCTTTTAATTTGATCATCTGTTCTCTCGTCACTGTAACGCACTATGGTTGTCATCTGATATCTTCCTGTAATTTGAATATTATTCTTGAATTGTGTGTGATAATTCTACAGACTTTCCTTCATTCTACAGATTTTACTTCAGAGTTCAATTTCAGTGTGATTCTGAATTATCCTTAATTTGTGGACATCAGTGTGTATGTATATATATCAAAGGGTATAGTTAGCCTGGTTCCGTTCCGTTGGCAACGGTGATGAAATTATGAAAAACAAAAATTTCAACTACTCATATTGAAAGTATGTTTGACCTCAATGGCCAAACGAATGAAGATCAAGATCAGATCACGAAGTGATTGTATAAGCCAGTTTTAATCATATTTCCTATCAATTAGCAAAATCTAAATGAAATATTTTAAAGAAAAAATTGCAAATACCCTATTTTTTTCATTTTTTGCTAAAATCTTCTATTTTTCTATTAACATAATAAAACACATTGATTAAAGTGCATAATATCGATGAGAATGTAATTTGTAAACAAGTTAAAGGAAAGTTTCCTGAAGTTGTGTTACTCTTAATAAGTATTTTCGACTGACAATCCAACAAGCATTTTATAAAGAAGACTAACCATCGTTGATCATAATGTGAGTTGCATTTTTGTCGCAGATCGAGTTTCAGTGAATAATAATTTTAATTTTTCAAACTAATGAATTTTTCAAAATAATTTACGAGAAAACTTTCAAAAATTTGATATTTTTTCCATTAATTTCTAACGTTTTGACAGGAACTATTACTTTTCTGTAGCTTCAAAAGTAATATTGTGTGATTGCCGAAACATTTCAGAGATTTAATCAATAGAAAAACCGAAAATTAAAAAAAATCACGATATTTGAGAGGGAAAAATGTAAAATTTACAAAATAATGATCAACGAGTTCAGGGAGGGAAATGACCCAGTTTTGGAAATCTAAGATAGAACATTGGCAAGAATTTTTTCCTCCAAAGTAGTTACTTTATGTTAATCAATGCTTAAAA